CGGGGCCCCTCTGAGCACCCCCAGAACAGTCAGAGCGTGTGGGGATCCTCCAGCGCCTCCCCCTGGGCGCAGCGAGTGGCTCCGGCCTCTGGGTGGGAACAGGACCAGAAAGCTCAGCCCTGTCAAGATGAATAATTTTAATCAATGGTTAATTGGGGGTTTGAGTATTCCAGCAAGATTCCCTCACCCCATACTGGGGTATATCAGCAACGGGAGGAATTGCAGTGCAGCAGCACCCACCGTTGCTGTAACTAGTTAAACCACTTTAACTACGGGTCATGGCCAAGTTTAGATAGAACGTACTTGGTGCTTTTTCAAGCATTTCATGACAGAGGCCTTAGAAATGGAGCATATTTCTGACTGGGGAGGAGGTGAACTGTTCAAAACTAATCCCCAAACCCATTGCCATCTGCTTGTGGTTTGACTCTTCCCATCGCATCCCTTCCGGCTTGACTTTAAAGTCATCAAATTTTTTATAAATACGGTCTTGAAAACTACACTAGCTGGATAGAAACAACTGATTAATTTGTTTAGGCTCAGCTCCGGCAGTGCATGTCCAAGCAGGTGGAAGTGTTAATCAGAGGAAAGCAGCAGACGGAGGGCACCCTGCACAGCCTGCAGCGGCAGGTGGACGCGCTGGACGACCTCGTCAGCAGCGCTGCCTCCGATTCGCTGCTTCTAGCCCAGAGCTCGAGTCTCGTAACTCTTCACGACGCTCTGAATTTAACAAAAACACAGGTAATGCGCTACTAAGGAATTCTGGGTGGTTTTTTTTTTTAAATAATGAGCTTGGGGTAGTTTTTACAGGCATCTGCTCAGTGTCTTGGGGGCACGGGGGCTTTCCTGAAGGTGGGGTGACAACGCTGCGCTCTGTCACTCGGGCAGCAGCAAACAGCTTTGAAAAGGGCAAGTTTTCCTCAGAGGGTTTGTTTGTTTGTTTTTTTTTAACTTTGTCTTACCTTTTGTTCTTTAAAATCCAGATTATTTATTTTAAAGATCAGTGTATCTGCTAATTGAAGACGTGAATCTATTATTATTTTTGTTAAATTATCAATTATTAATTTTACTGCTTCTCCTAGGCTGCTCTGACAAGGCTCAGGCCTGTCCCCGGCAGCCCCGTGGGCATTTCAGTGCTGTCACAGACGCTGCGTTCCTGCTCCCGAGGAGTTTCTCAGTGAAGCCCGGAGGTGAGATGGGAGCTTCACCCATCCCGAGTGTCCTGAAGGTTGAGGCTCGTGGGTCGGAGGTGGCGGTAGCCCAGGGGCAGGTGGGGCTGCTCCCGGGGGTTCTGCAGCCCATCAGGGGGGACAGGCACAGCCTCTCCAGGGCTGTAAATGTTGCCCAGCAGCCAGCCGGGCCCCAGCCTGGGGCAGAGCCGCTCACCTCGGCGCTCTTCAGGTGCCGCTCGGCTCCTCCATCAGCCACCACCGTTGGCCCATCTCTACCTCCCTGGCCCCTGCTGGAACAGCCGGCTGCAGCACCTGCTCCCTACTGTGAAGTTTTTGGTACATTTGAGTAACTGAGCTTTATGTATATAAGTTAGGGTTGGTTTTTTTTTTTAAAAAAAACATTCTAAATGTGGATTTCAAGGTGTGCAAAGCAGCTATTTAAGTGGAGGTATGTGTTGGTTCCCAGTTAAAACTTGTGCCAAGGACAGAGTTGTCCAGTTACCTGTTGTTAAGCGTGTGGATGTTTTACGTACGTTTTACTTTTGAGTACATCCTTAAAATAAACCTCAGTGACTCCTGCTTGGTTGTATCCGCTTTTTTTAAGATGCTCTCAAGCAGGCTCTGACTGCTCTGGCTCCCAGCAGCAGGAATGGGTCCAGAGTGGGTGGTTATGGAGTTTAACTGGTGTAGGCCCCCGAAGGCTGAGCTGTGTCACCATGCGACTGCTTCATGGTTTCAGTAACAAAGTTCAAAGCAACTTGTTCTTAATTAGTAGCAGAAAAGCCACTTTGTAAAGCCTTTGGGCAGCAGCAGGAGGCACCATGAGCACAGAACTTGCTACCACCCCCCTCCCTGTCCTAAGGAACATCTTGCCCTCCCTCACAGGGAAGTTGCCTGGTGGCTGTTCCCCAGCCAGGCCTTAACATCAGCCCCACTTTTGTCCTTTTTCATCCACATTATTAATAAAACCAGATCTTTCCTATGCAGGTGGTGCATTTCACTGGGAATAACACCCTGCTCTGGCCCTTTGTTCTGGGGCCTCTCACACTTTTAAAGAGCAGTTCTGGGCTCAGGGCAGACTCTTGTGAAAACCCTGAGACATCCGTAGCACTTCAGGTCCCTGGCAAAGGCTAAAGAGGAGCAGGTACAACACACGCCCCCCGCCCCAGGCCTTCTGCAGTCTGGGTGTGAGGAGCTGCTGCTGCAGAAACTGCCTCACCCCTCTGGAGCAAAACCAGCTTGAGGGGGTCTGAGCAAATAACCACAAGGCAGTGCCGTTTATCTAGATACAGGTACTTTATTTACAAATATTTAGATTAATAGCATTGTTACATCAAATGAGGAGTACAGCAGTCCAAACAAATCCTTTCTGTGACAGAAACAATAAGACCTACTGTAACTTACTCTGGGAGTACAGGTATTGCACCGCAACAAGCTGTAGGTGTTAGAACACAGACTTCACGCCAGCAGCAGGTCGTGGTCCCTGGGCAAACCCTTTGTGGTGCAACCTTGGTTAAGCAGGATGCAGTAGCTGCAGATCTCAAACATCATCTACTTCAGAGTATTAGTTAAAAAAGAGACTAACCAGACAAAACAAAGGGACAGTGCACAAGTTACCCAAATCCTATTGTCTGCACATTCCAGTTTTGGCTTTTATTTAACATTGACTGTACAATACTCTGGTACCACTGTTTACTTACAAGTCTGAACATTGTATAAGGTTTAGTGTCTAGTAGAGGGATTTTAGGACTACTTTGTATTTCAAACACTGCAGCAAGACTAAAGCTGGACCCTGGTTAAGCACTCACCCCTTTTGCTTTTTAAGCCACACATGACATTTTCCAAGTGAAGCTTGCTTGAAGAAGGCAGCAGCACCACACGCAGAGCCACCTGCACCGCTGTGGACACTGCAGCCAACCCCACGTGTGCACGGGCACCACACAAAACCTCCCCTTGCCCGGACAGGCTCTGTCACCCCAAGGGTATACGCAGAGGCCTGATGAAAAAGCCCAAGTCTTAAACCCTCAGACTGATAAAAAAAAAAATACAACAGTAGTTAAAAATCCCTAGAAAGCACACACATTGTTCGACTGTCCAGTTCAGCCTCTGACCATTCAAAAAGTTAAAGGTAGAAAAGCGTAAGATGTGCGAGAGAACCAGCCTTCGTACAGGAGGCAAGGCAGGCGACGAAGCCCAATAACGCAAAACGCTTACCGAAGAGAAAAAGCGGGTTAGCACGCTGCTGATTGCACACAACGGGGTTAATGAAACAGCAGCCGAACACCACAGGGCGAAGATGAGAGACAGATTCCACTAGTGTTAACTTCTGCAGCGGGGTCAGAGCCCCGGCCGCTGCCGACGCCGAGTTAAGCCTCCGCGAGCGACCCGCGGTCACATCGCGCTCTGCCGGGGCAGCGGGGGCACGGAGAGGTCATACTGTACAAACTGGTATTTTCTTATATACTGTTCTAATGCCAGTAATCATTTTTCTTCATTAAAATCATATACACAGGATGTATTTAACCGTTAGCTCAGTTCCTTCAAATTTTATACATATTTACGTTCTGTTAACAAGTGTAAAAGGATAAAAGTGGCAAAAAAAAAAAAGACATAAAGCTACGAGCGCGCGAGTGAACGGATTGATTCCCTGTGCGAGGTGTACGCTCCTGCGCCAGCCCGCCCCGGCCCCCGAACACACACCACAGGGAATTCTTTCAACAAAGCACATTGTTACAGAGCCCCTTGCTACCATCAGAATTCATTTCACAGCAAAAAAACAAACCCCAACCTTATCCTTGACTACGGACAGCTCGAAACAGTTAAGAGGTGGGGAAGAAAGGCCAAAGAACTGTAAAATTAAACCGTACAAGACAAAGCCCTGCGAAAGTGTAAAATCATGAGTCCAGCATCAGTGCTCGGTTTAAATTATGTATCGGTGACACTATCACAAGGACAATCAAGGAAAAAAAAAAAAAAACTTCTAGATTTACCATGCAGGAGAGGTTTTATTACTCTACTTGCTTTTGATAACCTGATTACATCTAAAGTTGTTTAGCAGTTTAGTACTGTGTTAAACTTGTCTCAGAGTTTTAATTAAACCCAGTAAGATGTACAGAAGACAGGGAAGCAGTCAAAAGCCCCGCTTCCAGCAGACAGAGGTGAAAGGTCAGAAATGGAGCCATGAAACAGAGGTCACTAGCAGCCGCAGCCTTCTCTCTGGGGCTGGGGTTCGCTGGTTAGTCGCCCCCCCTGCGGAGCTGACGGTTTGTGCTGTACACCCGACTCTGCGGCGTTCAGATCCAGGCTTCCGTCTTGGATATTCTGGTAGATTTTCTTGGCAGCCTCCAGGAACGCATCCTCAACGTTCTCTCCACTACGAGAGAGCAGCAGGAGTTACTGGGGCTGCGCCTCAGGCCGGCAGCTGGCTGCCACCCCGGCTGGGATCCGAGCGGACCCCGAGCAGCAGCAGCTGCCACCCTGTCGCTTTACACGCAGGAAAAAGCCTCCTGCGCCCACAGCAGACACAGCCCAAGCCCGGTGCCCTGTCCCCGGGCCACTCACTCCCTCGCCATTACAGCCTGGAGTCAAGAAACACGTGCTAAAACACCACCCAGCAACAACTGGCTAAGGCACCGAGCCACACGCGGAGCGGTGTTGACAGGGGAGCCACTATTCACCATTACAGGCACCTGCTGGAACCACCCTCAGCAGCACCACTGGGGTGGGAGCCTGCATGATGCCACCCCACACTGGGTACTCAGGGCTCCAGCACCTGGGGGAAGGAACAGGTAATGGGGAACAGCTCTTCCCCACACAGACACGTTCTACACTCAAACAGCGGCTTCAAGCCGAATCAGTTTGTTGGAATTCAACGAGTCTTTGCCTGAAATGCAGCAAGGGGTCTAACGTCCAAGTTGTTTTCAAGTCAAAGCTGACACGACTGGAACTGCGATGCAGAGCTTACCCTCCAGCAGAACTCAAAAAATGTTTCTTGTGCTTGTAAAACCCTACTATACCTGAACTCTATGGCTGTACTTAGTCATAACCAATATATTCCTCTTAAACAGATCACAGCTGAATCATTACTCCAGACAAAAGTAACTTACGTTTTTGCACTTGCTTCAAGGAACAATAAACCTGTTTAGAAACAGAGATTTAACAGTCAGCGCATAATATACTTTAAATAGCCCCCAATCAGTCACATGACGACCTTCAGATTACATGCAAGACACTATTTTAACATTAAATGGTATTTTAGGACTAAGTTCAGGCATCAATACACAAGCTGGTTTCTAGAACTAAGAGAACTAAGCCAGACTGAGGCACAAGAGAAACTTGTACATATAATTACAATTCTTTGGAAGTGTAAGCTTGCAGCTATCCATGCTAGGGATTCACTTTAGCATCACTATCTTGTTGGAAATATATCAACAAGAGGAAAAACACACCATTTTCTTCAGCAAATTGTTTGGCTTCTTCATATGTAACATCCCTCTGTGCTTCCAGATCTGCTTTATTTCCTATGAGGATTATCACCTAGTTCAGAAGAGAGAAAATTAGTCTGGAAAAAAAAAAAGCTTTTTCACTACCACCCCCATCATTAATAAGACAAAACCCCCCGAAGGAAACAGGCAGGCAAGTTTTTTAACTGCAAAAGCCATGCATCTTCAGGAGAACACTGCCCTGGCAGCGCCCCCCCTGCACAGTCTCCGCTGTCACTTGCAGACACTCTGGGTGTTCTCATGAGAGGAGGTCTTAAAAAGCAGCAGTCCTACTCTTTATTCATGAGTTGTGCTCTGAACCGCTTCTTGTATTTGTTTAATCATCTGCTAATCCAGCCAGAATCCTTAAGTTTTCTTTCACCACAGCAGAGTCTTCCCATGAGTTTGGTGCTCAAGTGTTTTGAGGCATTTGGAATAAGACTGAAGAAGTGTTGTGGTGCAGTCAAAGACACAGAAGAACCTTCTTCCCCCAGCCCTCCAGAAGACCCGCTCAGCTTTTGCTGAAGATCCAATTTATATTCCAGTCTAAGACAGGATAACATTCACCCCAGTGCTACCACAAAGCGAGAAGAAACAGTGACAGAAGGTTTTGTTAATCACAATTTTGTCTCCAACTGCTGAAAACAGGCCCCTCAAAGGTGAGAGCACAAGACTTTTAGAAGCAGCCACTGCTCTCCTGCACAGGAGCCCCCATTTTTGCTCCAGTTGCAGTAAGGGAAGAGTCACTGGTGTGCTGCAAAATGGGGGCAGAGGGGTAACTCGGAGCTAAGGAGATGAAAAACCAGAGGCAGCTTATTTAAGAGAACACTGCTGCCACTGCAGATGCTCCGGCCTCAGCCCTCCACCTCATGCTTAGAGATGAGCTATCTTGCTTTCAAGCTAAATAAAGTCCAACTTACAGTATTTGGATTGGTGAGGTTCCTTGCATCTGTCAGCCAGCTGCTTAAGTGATTATACGTACTTCTTCTGCAAAGAATTAAGCAAGTACAGTTTTAGTAACAGTATTTTTTGAAATACCTGATGCCAACATCCCAGTCAGCATCCATTCAACACACCAACATCTGCCATCCCTGTTCTTCTCCCCAACCTCAAGACAAAGCAGCAGCACCTTGTCTGGACTCAACAAGTCAACTTTAAACCCCCAGAGCAACCCTTAAACGCAGGTGGACAGACAGACAGACAATTAGCACTTCTAGTACACGGCATCTTCACCAGGACAACATCTGTATTGTTTTGTACAGAACACATTAAAGGATTTCCTGTCAAACACTTACAGAACACTGTACAGTACAACAGCACTTTGGGAACAGTGATAAGATTGTTTTACTCAAGATTGAAGCAAACAGGAAATATATATGCAGAAAAAAAAAAAAGAGGTGCTTGAAGAATATCAAGAACAGCCCCAGAAGAAGATGGGAGACATGTAAAAGCAAATGTATTTCATGTTGCACATCTGATTAATTATTCTTTTAGCAGCATCTTTAATTTTCACCTATAAAAGGAAGGCAGGGTAGCTTCTACGCAGGCTCGTTTTGTGGGAGGCCTGTGACGAGGCCCAGCAGTCAGACTTCTACACTGCGCACGTTTACACAGCCCACTGCAACAGAGGCCACGTTCTGTCCTGGGCCTGCTCCTGCCAGTAAGCAGCAGCATCCATCCCTCCCAGGAAGAAAACATCCAGGTACTGAAGAGCAGATTTTAAGGAGAAAGACAGTTCTTTAAACAACACAGGCAGCCAAGACCTGAAATGGCAAGATCCTCAGGCCTGTCAGTAGTGAAGCGTTCCAAGAAAAACACAGGAATTATGTGAGCTGCTTAATTTTCAGATCTTTAAATACTTATTTAAAGTAGTGTGGTAAGCTTCACACAACACAACACAAATCCTTCCAACCAAGTCCAGAGGCCAGACAGGACCGCACAGACAGGGCCGTGGTACCCACGACACACCACGCCAGCCAGCGGCACTCACCTGGTGATGTCGTAGACCATGAGAGCTCCTGCTGCTCCTCTGTAGTAGCTTCGTGTGACAGCCCTGAATCTCTCTTGTCCTGCTGTATCCCAAATCTGTAGTTTAATTTTTTGGCCACTAACTTCAATTATTCTTGTGCCAAATTCAACACCAATTGTGTGGGGACAGTCTGCCATAACTGTCATAAAAAATAAGAGCAAAGATCAGATCTTTCTAGTAGCACAAGGTCTGCTTGCTACAAAGATATTACTATCACCAGTTTTCAGTTATCTTTACTAGATTTTCAGTCTCTAAGAAAGCATTTTTACAGCTACTGTACCCAAACTGTATCACTTCACCAGAAATAAAATGAAGTATTTCCTGAACTGCTGTTAGTTTTAAAAACAGTTATAAAATTCCTTGCCTTCTCTGATGCATGTACACTGATGCTGTTTGGCCATATATATCAGAAGGTATCAAGTCAGGTGATTCTCAGTCTATCCTTGCAGAAACGGTTAACTAGTTTAATGCAGTAGGAAAAGATAACTTTTAGGAAATTACCAAAGTACAATTAAAAGTCTGTAACACAGCTTCAAAAACAAATACCCAAGTTGCTTCAGACAGGGTAATAACATGACGGTCCACAGGAAAAAGCCCATTTCAAAAGCAGCTCGCAACACAGCAAATCAAAACCAAAAGGGCATCTTTTTTGTTATAATAAATTCATCTTTAAGAAAAATTTAAAAAAAATACAGAAAGGATGAGTACCTATATCCAAGCCATCTACAGTTAGCAAGAGTCTTGTAGTAGGGGTGTTTGGCATGTTAGTTTGTTCAGTTGTACTGCTTCAGCTTAACGCTGACAGACTAAGAACAAGACAGATCCTCAACAAGAATATGACTGTAGGCAAAGCAGCATTTAAACCATTGGCTGATACTGGATTTTAATTAAAAGCAACAGGGTTTTTTTTAAAAAATACTATTTTTACTAGAAAACAGAAATATTTTAAACTGTAGCTCCTACCCACTTACTGCCACTTCTCGAGCAGCACATGGTAAAGACTAACTTTGTACTCATGAACACCTACAGACTCAGCCATGGAGTGAGCACTACATGGGAAGTCAGAGCTAATAACCACTGCAAATGCCAATGCAACGCACATTATTAAGCAGAATTGAAGCTAATTCTTAATTAGCCATGATAGCATACATGAAAAAGCATTAGTCGAGACAGACTGCAGTAAGCCTTAAACACCATCACGCAGGGCAGCCCAGTGTCATGCGTCACAGCAGCTACAGAGTGACAGTGCTACTTAAGCCTGCAAACAAAGAGTCAAAGAAATATGAATCCTTTTCTTCTCTTTGAAGTCCTTAGCAGCACTAAAAAACTCCAAATGCTGGTGTTCAAGCTACACCAATTCTGAAAACAGGCATTTCAGACAAGAAATTTCAACTTTGTTCTGTATCAAAATTCCCCAGAAAAGCTGTAAAAACAGTCAGGTAGGACTGACTGAAGCAGCAGTTCTGCAACTACCACATCAATATTTTGTTTCTACATCTGCAGAAGTCAAAACAAAAATGTGACCAAGTACAAAACAAACCCGTACAGACTAAGACAGACACCACAGACTCATGCATGATGGAAGCAAAAAGGCAGGAAAGAGGGATGAAGCACACCAGCTAGAATATTGTGAACTGAGATACTCACACTTCTTTTCTGTAAACTGATGGAGCAAACAGGACTTTCCTACACCCATGTCCCCTGTTACAGAAAAAATAGTTAAGGCTGACATCATATCATTGTTGCAACAAGCACATTTTCTTCATCCTCCCAACACAGGGTACAGAGACAGGCAGCCACTCCTGTCCTGGGCCTAGCGGGCAGTGAGGCTACAGCCACCTGGCTACAGCCCTTACATGGGTCAGCTTTTGCACTACAGTTCTGGTAACAGCTACAGGGTTGCAAGCAAGGGTGGAGCAGCAAACTCAAAAGGAGAAGTTCATCTGTATTACTGATTTTACACCTGTATTTCACAAGGTTATGAAAAGGAGACCTGTAAAACTGAAGTGTAAAATACACCTTTTGAGTGTGTGTCTTCCTCCTGTCTTACTTGCAATCACTGGTAAGGACTTAAAATACTGACAGCCAACCAGAACACACCAAGAAACTGCTTCACTTCCACAATGCCCACAGAGAGAAAGAGCAACACCTTTTAAAAACTAACTCCTCCACAGGCTGTGGCTGTCGCAGCAGCCTGGCTTACAAACCATTACAGTAAGATTGCAGATCACTTACACCTACACAAGATCATTAAGAATTAAACAGTTAACAGCAAGACCTGTTCTTCCAGGATAGTAATAAATGCAATCATGACCCTGACTAAACAGCCAAGGAAGCTGAAGCTAAAAGCAACACTTAAACACAGAATTATAGCCTGACAGAAGTTTATAAGCCCGTCTAAAGCAATGGATTCCAATTAGCACCTGTGTCTTCAACAGATTCTACAACATTTGGGACTAATGATGCAGAGAAGTGCAATAGCAAACCTGAATCAACACAACATCCCAGCTGTGTTGATTCCTATTAAGATTTTTCCCCCATTTCCAATGCGTTTAGCAATTTTTCTAAATATAAACTTAATTTTGGAGGAAAAGGACCACATGCACGTTTTTAGAATGCCTTTTTTTTTTTTTTTCTCTAGTGCTATGCAGAGGGCTAAGCACTATGGCCCTAACAGTTAAGACATTCAAAAATGCTGAAGTTTGTATGTCAAGAAGAATGGTTATTTTTAACAGTAACTCAACAATCAAGTGACCTCAATACAGGCACTGGTACTTGCCCCCACTCCCAGTTCACTGGCCACCAATCACACAGCATTAATTCTGTGGCCTCCAAAGGCATTTGCCTTTATATTGTCAGCTGCCAAAGCTTTAGAGCAAGCGTGGTGATCTGTGAGGGACTGAGGCTGGACAAGTAACTGTGAAGGAATCACGACTCTAGAGCAAGTAGCATGCAACTGCAGGGAGGCTGTCGTGCACAGACCCACTGCCACGACCAGGCGGGTGCCCAGGGGTACTTACCAATAATGATGTACTTAAAGATGTAGGAATAGTTGTAAGGTGCAGTTGCCATTGTGGCACTAAAACAAAACAAAAAAAAAAGGACACATCAGAACAGCTATTTGTTCACCAAACTCAACCCAATTCATCCAATTTAGTTCATATAAGCAAATAAAACCTTTTCCCATTTCTCCCCCACAACGATCCTTTCATTCACAGTCCAAGTTAGTTACTTCCCCATAGTTGCTGAATTAGTGCCAGAGATATTCAGCAAAACTCACACCGCTTGCTCTGAACCCCTGTCATTAAGGAGAGACATGCTCTGTGTAGTACTGATACTCAGTCACTATTATCAAAGTCTTAAAGCTGCTGAAAAGCTCCAGCAGCTTCTTGTTTTGTACAGTCGCTGCGTGGACCAGCACTCACCAGCCAAATAGCTGATACATGAACTGAAAATAAAATCTGACTCCAAACTAAACCCGCAATTTGGAACTATTACCTCACACTTTTGAGATGTGCAACAGGAACAAAGGAAAGAGCACAGCTTGCATCAAACAGATAAGAATTACTTAAAGGAACGCTGCAGTGGCCTTAACTAGGGTTTGCACTGCTACATGCCCATGTCAGAAGAGCAGTGCAAGCCACAAATCAGATGTTCAGGAAGTTAGTTAACATCTCTGTGGCTTTGTCAGCATAGTGGCATTACAGCAAGGCTTAGCAGTTTCTCTTTTTTAAGAGAATCACAATTACATCGGAGATAAGTACTTCCAGTATTCCAGTTCTCCCATCTTTCCTAGATGTACGAGCTGGCTTCAGCTGTGTAAACTTGCACGAAGCAATAGCTGACTTGCCAACTAATACATCAGTTAACCAGGATTACAAGTCTACACAGGATAGATATTGCCTGTTAACATAAAGGCTTCAAACTGCCTGCTTTTGTCCCAGGTTTTAAGTTAAACTAGATATAGTGTGATCAGTTAAGCAAGTGGAAAATTTCAACTAGGAATTCACCATTTCCTTTCCTGCTCCTGCATGGCAGATAGCCAGCCTTTAGAATAACATGGTACATTTTATAAAGAACATTGCTTCAGCCTAGAAAGATTTTCATTCAGTCATGTGTTATTCACATGACAAATGAAACCAGTAAAGAAATAAAAACACAGGAAAGCTTACAAGCCTGTAACTTTTTCAAAAGCAAAGTACTGTTTCCCCAACCACAATTAATCCATAATAGTGAACTGTAGGTATAAGAAAGAAGGTGACTCACAACAAATCTCATTCACAGTACACAGCCAACAAACCACTTCACACAGCAGAGGTTTAAAGCAAACACTCTTATCTAGACCTTGGAGAGGGAACAACTCCAACAGGCAGTTAAGGGTTTACTGTGTGCCAGTCACCTTGCCTTTCATTCATGCTTGGCTCATGATATGGAAACTCTCAAGTCTTTCTATCCCAAGCAGTACGCAAAGCATCTATGCTAAATCCTACATATACACATGCACACTGTTCTATAAACCAAGTTTAATCCGAGATAGTAAACAAACAACAGTTTTGGACAGCAACTCTTGTATCTGTCGGCAAGAGAGTTCCACACCAAGTGCCGCATGTGTTCCAAGAACAGCCAGGTCAATCAAGCAAGTTTTAGAGGAAACTTCTGCTGTAGTACTGGGTAAGAATTCACAACCATGCCTGGAAATGCACTGCTCTGCACCAAGCAAGGCAGCAACGTTACTGCCTTATTTCCTGGAAGTGGAGGATTCCAGAGCTGCAGTATCAGCTTCAGTATGTGCACCGATTATTTTCAACACCAGCAAATAAAGACAAGTAACTGCTCCAAAGAGAGCTCAAAATCAGTGTGTCACTGGAAACACCCAATGCTTCGTGTTTTCCGAATACATCTTTACACATTATGTTCTTCCTCTCCTCCAGCACGTCCCGGTAGCAGTAACATTCAAACTGAGCATCTTCTGATTCAACGCACTCGTTCATACAGGACAGTTAACTTGCTGCTTGCCTTCTACGTAAAGCGAGGAGGGCTGTGGTCCCAGCTCAGTTTAGTTTGATAGCAGATACGGTTAAACTGGAGGATTGTAAGGTATGTAAGTACAAAACCAAAAAGCTTAAGAAGACCAGTTGATACATACAAGTACTTCAGGAGGACAGCATGAACTCTACTATTTTCCACAGAAAACAGGTGGGTGCTACAGCCACAGTAAAGGCAAAGACACCCAAAAGCACTAATATGCATCTAGTTTGAAGGATCAATGGTGTGTTCTGAGGATGGTAGTATCTAGTAACTTACACTGGTTTTAAAAAAATTCAGCATTGTAAACTTCAAGTTAGGGAACCACTCCTGTGGTTGCAAAATCTGTTCTAGCTGACCCCCCCTCTTCCTTCACAACACCAGTTGGCTCTGGAATGCCAAGTACTCAGAAATGTTCAAAGGAGTTTCATGTTTCTGAACACATGACTTCACAATATTGCTGTATATAACACGTGAGGGGAATACATCCTACTATCCAAGCTTGTACGCAGCATCCTGGAAGGTGAGGAAGACTTTTTTTTTCCTAAAGAATGGACAAACTGGGAACTCTGTGCAGGCTGTATCACAAATTGAGTTTGGAATCTCTTAGTTAGAATATTTTCTGTTAAATATACATATCTATTTGACAGACTGTTTTTGCTTGCCAGGATATGTCAATATTCATTATATTCTTTACTTAAAGAAGTCTAACTATGCTATTTCAATATAAAAGAAACTGTCACTGCTTTGCAACACATGCATCAAAATCAGTTCCCACTTCAAAGTGAGAGAAAACCAAATTCTGTGCTTGGCAACAAAGTCTGAAATGGGTGGGGAGAACTAACTTCAAGCCACATCTTATTGTTAAAACTTCATCTTCATTCTTACAGTGACACTAGGCCCCTAGAGGAGGTGAGAGATACCAGATGCTCCCCTGCATGAAGCCAGACCTAGCACTCACACACCCTCCACAGTTTAAAGAAACAGATTATTATTCTGCAATCAGCAATTAATCTATAATCAGCAATACTGATAGAGAAATTCACTCCTACGGCGAGTCTAGACCCTCTCTCAAGTCCCAGCTGAAGAGGTCACTGTCTGATAGACATATCTGCTGAAATCTTGCAGAAACACAGCTTAAACACAATTTGGGGGGTTAAACTGAAAAAATAAAGCAACACTTCGGTATTACATTTATTCCAAGGGTCATGTTACAGAAAAGATTCTGAAATACTCCAAATTATTACTAAAGGTCAGGAATCTTTTCTGGAGAACAGATGACTTCTCTAAAAAAAAAAACCAAAACCCAAAACACAACGAAATAAACTTTTAAACACTCAAATTCCAGTAAGGATTAGCAGGAATTCAAACTGTACTCAGATCTTGGAATAAAACTGATATTCCAAAAGGACTCTGTGCTGAAGGGAAAAAATAAATGCAACAAACTAAAGACAGAAGCCGTGGTGAGAATTCAGCCTCAGAAAACTTACAATCTCAGCACTTACTACAGATGAAAGAAGGAAGTCTAGACAAGAAGAGCACACAACAGCATTCAGTAAACACACAAATATTAGCTACATGTTAATGCTAGAGGTTAATACATATGTTGATAGCATCACTCATCTGTAGAAACTGGAGTTCTACCTCCACTTCCCAGCCCTCTGTTCCAGGCACGTGAATCTTAAAAATCTTAATAATCCCAACATGGGAAGGGGGGGATTTTCCTCTTGAGAGAGCCTGGGGCAAGAACCACAGGACTGAGATCACTGCACCCAAGTATACGCAACTCACCTTCAGCCACTGCTGACATTAAACAATATGACATCGAAGTTAACCAACCATAAATTTACTGCTAACAGAAAGTAAAAGAAGTTTAGTCTGAAAGCTCGGTCTACCTGCCATCTTTCTTCCGGGAAAGTCTGCCAATTTAAGTTTTGGCTCTCTCTTCAGAGGTAAAACTTCCCCTGGAGTTTATAGCATTATTTCGGGATGGCAACTGGCCAGACGATCATGTTTCACTATACACAGATTTCTGCTAGTTTCAAAGCCTGTAGAATTAATTTCTGTATTAGTTAGGACTAGAAATTTTACAGTGAACAGTGTCACCGTAATCCACTTTCTAGATATCAACTTCTCCCTTAGAGGCTTTTTTTAATAAAAAGTTACAGATGACCTTAATGAGATACTAGTACACCCACATTTCCTCCTCTATTCAGAAGCACTACACAGGTATTTTGACATCTCACTGAAGCCTTATTTCAAGTATCAGCACACATCTGTACAAACTGAGATAAGGTTGTTCCAGGCACACTGCCGTAACGTTCTTTATCAGAATAACACAACTGTAAATATCATATCCATACCAGCTTTCGTGAGACCCATGCAGCTCCTTCTAGCTCAACTCAAGGACATAGTCCATTTTAACTCTTCACTGGATATCATTTGCATAGAGAAATTTCACAGCTTTATGCTCAGCAAGAATCAGTATGTTCTTAAAAGAGACTAGAACCTGCAAGCACAGGTTTTATTATGCACTGCATGTGGATAATACAGTCAGCTGGCCAGTCCACACAGAGATGATACCTCTGAAAACAGCTATCAGCTTCCACCTCAGGACTCTCATTATTACAGGTTCCCCTTAAAAACATACCACTCTGCAGCCAGAGAACCACTGTTTAGTTACCCTGAAGCAAGAGGCATCTGCCTATCCACGTGTTCTTTTGGCCATTCCTCAAGGATATGCAACAAGAAAGGATCTCACAGCTGAAGTCCACTTCCCTTCTATAAAAGTAATGCCATCATATCACTTCATAAATTTAAACAACTTTTAATGAGCTGTTAGTTTTTTCATTTGGAAGAAAATATTCGTTGCGTACAAGAGGAACTGTATGCAACCAATAACCATCATTTAGAACAGCTTCTAAACCTCTACACAAAATGAATTGGTAGTTATTCTCTTTCCCAGGGCATAGTCTTCCTTCTCAGTGTTCACTGTTTATTAACATCTAAGTAAATATACAGAGAAGAGATCAATAAGAGGGAAAGAACTAGGGAGAGGGAGAATTGTTTCAATTCGTAATTGTACTATTCCCCCGATGGAGACTTTTGTCAAGCACACAAAACAATGCAGTCT